AGGGCATTTTAGAACAATGAAAATATCTATATTTGAAATGAGGAGACTTTGTCACATATCCGACCTAGACGGTTCGTAGCAAGGAAACAGTGTTAGTTCTTCGACCCAGACGATTTGAAACGAGCAAACATTGTCACTTGTTTGATGAAGATGATTTTTAAAAAGAGGACATTTTTGGCAATTTTTGCCCAAACGATTTGAAAAAAAAAAGAAAAAGAAAAAAGAAAAAACGAAAATTTGACATTTATTTAACCCAGCCGATTTGTAATAAGGATGTCTTGTCAAGTGCCCGGTCCAGAAGACTTGAAATAAGAAAAACAGTTCTTTAGTTCGATCCAGACAATTTTCAGTAAGAAAACATAATCAATTCCCCGACCCAGATGATTTTCCATAAGGAAAATTTATCTCTTGTTCAATTCAGAGAATTGGGCCAACAATTTTTTTCTTCTATCTTACAGCTATATCACGGTTTTTGTATGATCAACGAAGTTAAGCAACGTTCAGCTAGGTCAGTTTGACCCATAACGTCTCTCATCAGCTATGGGTCAGTAAAACATTATTAACTCTCCCCAAATGTTTATAATCTAAAAATATTTTCTGGCTTTAAATAATCAGAAAGGTTGATAAGCCGTAAAAAAACAAAAACAAAATCAGTCTTCTTATTTCCTCGCAGCAACGACTGCACAAAGATTACTTGCCGTTGCAAAAGAAAAAAAAAACTCTTTATATTCTATTTGCTATTGTAACTATCAAAGAAACCTTAAAGAGATAAACATTGTAAATGTGAGGGGGTGGGAAACAAAGTGCGGCCGACAGGAGGCGCTTGTGTCGGCCAATCAATCTTCTCGCAGTCAATCAATCAACAATCTGCTTTGAATAATCGAAGTAATCCTCCTAATCCCACTTAAGCCGGATTTGAAATTATCATTTGTTAATTTCATCGATCGAAAACTGTCATTTACTGTATTTTCATTTTTTTTTTTTTTTTCTTTCCATTTTTTGCTTTACGTTTTGCTTCTCAGTATTTTTTCCCGCCCAAATAACCCCGAATTACAACTAATTTAAGAAATCGTCCATTCAATTATTTTATTTCAGTGGGGTGCTTTTGCTACAAAAGGCAATCAAATAATAGTAGACATGTTATTTATTTATTTATTTATTAATTAATTAATTAATTATTATTATTATTATTATTATTATTATTATTATTATTTGTGTATGTTATGTTTCCTGCTTTGTATCCTGTAAGGCCGGATCCAAATTATGGCACTTAGGCCCTACTGTAAAATTGTCATTTAATCGATAGCACTTCTCTTAGTGTATGTGATGTTCTTAGTAGGGCGATATTCTGGGCAACTTGTATGTTGTTACCTGGGACACTCTTAGTAAAATTGTCCATTCCTTTTCGCAGGAGGCCCAGTGCTCCGATTACTATTGATACAGTCGCAATCTTCATTCTCCACATCCTGTTAATCTTGATCTCAAGGTCTTTGTATTTGGACAATTTCTCGATCATTATCATGGAGGTCTTTTCTCTCAGATGGTAATTTATTATTATTATTATTATTTATATATATTATTATATATATATATATATATATATATATATATATATATATATATATATATATATATATATATATATATATTATTTATATATATTATGTATCCAGCTTTGTATCCTGTCGAGCCGGGTCCAAACTATGGTCCTTAGGCCCTATAAGAAAATCGTCATTCAATTGATAGCATTTTTCTTAGTATGTTGATGTTACCTGGGACGCTGTTAATAAAATTATCCATTCCTTTTCTCACGAATCCCAGTGCTACGATTACTATCGGTACAGTCTCAGTCTTTATTCCCACATCCTGTTAATATCAATCTCGTCATCCTTGTATTTGGACAATTTCGCAATAAGTTTTATGGAGGTGTTTCTTTCACATGGTACTGCTATGTCAATAAGCATACTCTTCCTGAACTTCTTGTCTTTTATAATAATATCAGGTCTGTTGGCTTTTATACATTATATATATATATATATATATATATATATATATATATATATATATGGTACTGGGGCAGCAGAACATTACTATTTAAAACTAGTCACAAAGCATATATTGCATCTAGACATATGGTTTTGTTGTTAATATTTCGTTCTATCACGTGATACGATGTCATAGAACCGCATCACAAATTTACGACCTGCGTCTACTATTCCGCGACCGTTATCGTCGTATCGTCTATGTAAACAAAACAGAATATCGTATTTGATGGTGAATATCTTTGTTTAAATGGCCGCATAACCACTCTGAAGATGGCCCATGTGAGTCGAAACCTTAAATCAAGGAACAGCATAATAAAAAAAAAAAATATCCAAATTTGGACAATTTTGTCTTTATTTTCTCCCAAAATTAAAACCACTATACGAAGCTTAGAACGGCTCATGATCAAACATAATAGACATTCGTTTTCTCATATATTTAGCAAAATATGTTTGATTATATATATATATATATATATATATATATTCAGGCTACCTGAGTATTGGGTATAGAAAACAAGTATATTTTTTGCAAGCACATGAAACATATAGTGGCCAGCCATTGCCTACCTGGACATTGAATGAATATTCAAATGCTCTGTCATTTTTGATGGCAGAGAGCACTTTTTTTTGCCAGACGGCTAATTTTGGGCAGACTGTATTTAGAGCTGCTTATTCAAACCTTGGAATCACACACACACACACACACACACACATATATATATATATATATATAAATATATATTATCATACATTTTCATGAGGTCAAAATATGCGTTGTCTACATTGAGACGATTTGCTGTCGGGGTTTAATGGCTTTGTTTTTTCATTTTAGCATTTGCAGCCTGAAGATTCTTTACGATGAAAATCGATTACCCACTAAATCAATATGCAAGTTTTTACAATTATATATATATATATATATATATATGCAATTATGCGATTTTTAACATGTTTTAATATATATACATATATTATACACGTTTTAATATATATTTTCTTTATAAAGAATTTATATATATATTTTATTTATATATATATATATATATATATATATATATATATATATATATATATATATGCGTTGTGTTTGTGTGTGTGTATGTCACTACAAAATGTATCCTTTCCGGTTACATCTTTAATGTATTAGACATCCGACAACATTGATATTTCTCTCACTTAAACCGTCTTTGACTCACCTCTCTAAAACTTCTCTCTGTTAAACTTTAATCCCCCACCTTCTCTCGTCTGTTACCCATCTCTTTAACTCTAACATTTGTCCCACACTCTCATACTTACACTCTCTCTAAATTCTATTTTTATTTCCGGAGTTGTTTTTTTTTTCTGTTTTCTTTTAGAATTTGTAGGTCTGATGAATTGGATCGTATTTACGATTCCAATGGAATAAATTATGACCATGGAATATTAGTGTTTAAGCCTTTTTTATTATATATATATATATATATATATATATATATATATATATATATATATATATATATAAAGGTTTCAAACTGGCATGGTTATATTCTTCATTGGAATCGTAATTCGATCCAGTTCATCAGAATTTCTTTTTGAATTTGTAGGTCTGATGAATTGGGTTGTGATTACGATTCCAATGTAATAAATTATAACCATGAAATATTAGTGATTGAGCCTTTTATATTAAATTCTTACTCTGTCCAGGACATTGAGCTCTACCTGGATTCTATCCTCTTGGAAATTTTTTTATATATATATATATATAATTATATATATATATATTCTGTATCTGTACGTATGTAAAATTTATGAAAGGCATTTTTTATATAAAGTAAAGTAATAATATATGGCAAGCCTACTTCTTTTGCAAAGAATTCCCTTTTAATTCTTTTTATGGTAAGTCTCTTTTAGTTCTTAGCCAAGAAGAGATTACAAGAAAAGATAGGTTATCATTAATTGTTAACTAGAATTAACAAATATATGGTTAGCCTTCGTCCCCGTATTTAGTCATAATAAACTTTCGATTTAAAAAAAAAAACCAAAAAACGAATACATCAATATGGCGTTAGCTATACATATATTTATCTGTCGGTGTTTTTTGAGATATGAAATATATATCACTGGTTGTCTCGATGTAAAATATTTAAGAGAAAAATACTGAAGCGACAAATCTCCGATCATCATCAGGTAGCATCAGGTGAGAAAGAAAAAAATAAATAAATAAGATAAAAGAAATGTATGATGGTATGAATATTTCTTGATGACGAAGGTCATTTTTTTTGTTCATTAATCTGTAAAAAGACTTCTGTCGTAGAAAAGTGAAAATAGTATAGAAAACACGTACATTTGGTCTGCGACTAACATCCTTATCCTTGTGTATTATACTTCAGTGTTTCAGCCGATGCATTCTTCGGTCTCTCAAAAGTTTATAACATACCTGGGCGGATTTCTTGCTCACTTATTTTCTGGGAGTATTTAGTTGTCAATGAGTGTCAGTGAGTGTATTTTGGACAGCAGTTTTACATTTTATACAAGTTTTGTTAATGACCAACGTAAGTGTTTTATTAAAGAGCTTTACATTCCAGACCATTTTTATGGTTACAGGTGAAAGATTAAATATAAACTGAACAATATCTGAGTATTTTTAACTTTTTAAAGCAATTTACCAAAATGTTTTTGTTTTTTGTGCTGCCAATTTCATAGTTTTTGTTTTCAATTAAAAAAAAATGAAGCGTGAAGACGCAATATTTGTAAAACGAAGAAACAGACATAGAACAAAATAAAAAGCTTATTCATAATGGCTTATGTCGAATGAAATTGCTTAGACACGAAACAATTTATATTCACTGAAAATCAGAATAATTGTCCGCAATGTAGAAAAACATTCCTTGATAAAAAAAATTATCTTTTATTGGTTGTTAAAATTTAGTAATGTCGGTAATTTATTTTAGTCTAACCTTTGAATTATATTTTCCTCTAGAAAGTTTTGATGCCAAGAACAAAAACCATCTGGGAGAGAGAAATAGAAATGGAAAAAGACAGAGATAGATAGATAGATAGAGAGAGAGAGAGAGAGAGAGAGAGAGTTGAGAAAGAGTGAGTGTGAAAGAGAAAAGAGAGAGATAAGGAGAGAAAGTGAAAGAGAGAAAGACAAAGAGAAAGCGCGAGGAAATAGTGAGAGAAAGTAAGAGAGAGAGAGACATAATAAGAGAGAAAGAGTGAGATAAAGAGAGAGGAAAAGAGAAAGAGCGACAGAAAAAGAGAGTGAAAGAGCGCGCGAGAGAGAGAGAAGGAGGAACAGGAAGAGACAGGAAAAGAGGGAGAGAAAGGCAGATAAAGTGAAATAGCGTGAGAGAAAAAGAGGAAGAGCGAGAGATAGAGATAGAGAGAGAGAGAGAGAGAGAGAGAAAACACAGAGAGAGAGAGGGACAGAGAGAGAGAGAGAGGGAGAGGGAGAGGGAGAGAGAGAGAGACTCGGTAATTATGCATATGAAGAGAACTGAAGAATACATGGCTGGAAATGAAATAAAAAAAGAGAAAATCCAAAGACGAAAACCCGAAAAGAAAGAAAAATAAACAAAATGGTAGAATCATTCCTTGTGAAATGTCAAACGAATATTGCATTTTGAGCAATAATATTTTCGACAAATAAAGACGCCTATTTTAGATAAATATTCTGAAAAAAAATATCTTGGCATTTTAAGAAACACATCCATTTTCAAATGCGATCTTGCCTTGACTGTTGCTGTCTAACCGGTGCACAGGTTTGAATAAAAATTGAAAGCAGAAAAATGAATTAGATGGGGCAATGCAGATTCATTTTGTACATCTGGTCTTCATTTGAATTTGTTTTTGTCTTTTTTCTGAGCGGGTTAATTAAAAAGGGAAAACAATTCGATAAAAATTATTATTTTTTTTGTTGTTTTTTAAAATCCAGGTCAATATTCAAAATAGTCATTAAATTCCAAGTGCCCGAAGAACAAAACGATTGCCCGTAGCAACTCTTTGAGATGGCTTGAGAATGACGGGCAAGCATTTGGCAGTTTTGGAGCATTTCACAAATCTGAAAATAAGCTTCATTACAACCTTTATCTAAATTTTCTTTCTTTCTTCCAATAACCTGAAGAAGGCCGGAGCGTACAACGGCCGAAACGTTGAATATGACAATGAAGATGGGTAATGTAAATAATGCAAGTCATCATAGTACCTCATCTCAGGAATAAAGACTGATAATTCTAATTGCTTCTGTATAGAAATCTAAGGAAATGAGTATTATTCCTTTCAAATTTTTCTTTTGTGATCTGGACAACAATGTTTTGAAACTAACCTATATTCCATTGCATTCGAGACAGATTCAGTGATGAATTGCTAGAGGAGAATTTTCTAGAAGTTTCTGAAAGTGTTAAGAATTTCTAGAACGTTCTTGCTACATAAAATATAAATACAGGAAACGTTCATTTTACTTCTAGCAGCCTAAGTACGTACAAGTAGTCGTTGATAAATGAATTCGTCAGAAACGACAAGAGGCTGTAAGCATCCGATTGCCGGAATTTGCTATGTCTATAAACGTTACTTTTGAATCATATATCGTTTTGTTCCTACTTTGCTTGAACCATTCGCCAGTTTTCCCATTAGAAATAGGTGAAAAAAAGGATAAAAATCGTATTACAATGTGCAATATGTTTTGAAATCCTTGTAAGTACAGGGTGACTCCAAAAAACGGGAATTTTTGAAGTGCGTATTGCCAGACATGAGCAAATGGCAACACTGCGAGACAGTGACTTTGAGCAAATAAACATTTCGCCATTTAGAATTCAAGATGAAATTCACAGAATCCCAGCTGAGATGTTGCAGCAGTCAATGAGGAATCTCAACAGCGGATTTCAAGAATGCATTCGTACAGGAGGACGCCATCTACAGGACGTAATTTTTAAAAAATGAAAATTCCATCATTGTTTCTTAAATGGCATGTTTTAAGGTTTCAATTACTATGAATAAAATATTTTTCTTCCATCACTCTAGGTTTTATTGGATTGTTAAAAAGTTCCCGTTTTTTTTTGGTCACCCTATATAATACGAAAATTAAAATACAACAAACACAATCTGAATCACCCCATCTAAAGCAATTAAATAAAAAAGAAAAAGAAAAAAAGAAAATGGCTTACTTGATGATCGAATAGGCATTGAGTGTGGTAAATAATTCTTTTGGTAGGGCCCCATTGAATTGAGTCCTGATGGGGTGCCCGCCCGGGCAGCCAGCTCTGAGACAGTGCTCCGAGGTACTCCTGCGCCAACGTTGCCCGGGTGGTTGTCATAGGTAGGTCCAAGGGTAGGCGGTCCAAGTGAGACCGGGGGTAGATTCCCGGCTGCGGCGGCGGCGGCGGCAGCGGCCGCTAGAATCCGGTTACGCTCCAGTAGAGAGAAATCCACGCGCCCGGCGTCCATGCCATCCAAGTTTATCATCGGACTGGCGATGGGACTGACGCCCGACACGCTGCAGGCGGCGGCGACGGCGGCGGCGACGACGCTGGTGGTTCGAATGCGGAGTGGCCGGCGCTATCCAAGAGACACCCATCGCATCATGGAGACGGAGACAATTTCGGCAAACGAATTTCTGAAAGACACAGAATGTAAATAAGGATTAATTACAGCTTGAAACAACTGTCATCACTATTTGAAACGATTTTAAATCTACCACTTTTTTTTTTTTTTTTTTTTTTAGCGATTCACCCCAAGCAAGGCGGGAAGCCACTAGGACGCAAGGGGTTACAGAAGATTTGGAGCAAGATCAGATAGGAGTGATAGAGGAAAGGATGAGGAGAAGGATAGTGGATAGATAAAAGCAACTAGAGATGTCGATTGGCATTACATTTGAATAGTTGTAGATTCTTGCTCTCAGGAAAACTGGAATAAGGAAGGGATTTCCACAGGCGATAAGTGCGAGATATGAAGCTATTGGAGTAGAAGAAACGGCTATATTTAATGTAGGAGGTACGGTGGAGTAATGGATAGCGACTTGGATTGAGGAATCTGAGAACCGAGTTCGAATTCCAGTCGAATCCATGACATTCACTTACGTGCTAATACCCTTGGGAAAGGTGTGAATCCTCTTCTTCTCCCTCCAGCTATTGGTAAATAGCAGCACAGACTGGGTTCTATAGCCTTGGATGGCAAACTCTGAATTCAAAACCTGCGGAGGGCCGTTTGGGGACCTTGTGGCACGTAGTGCACCTGGTCAAAATGTGTGGATGGTCCTGAACCAAACCATCACCACTATAATCAAATCTCATGTGCTGTTGTCGAGCTGTGGTTTCCTGGGAACTGATCTGAAGCCTATCCATGCGGGTTTGGGGACCGCTTGTGAATTCCAAATTCCCATGAAACTTCAATATTGGAGCCGGCTCAACCCACCCCGGTTACAGGTTACAGGTAGGTACATTTGATAGTTTCGACAGTGAAAGGGTGAGAGCGGGATGTCAGCCTCGTAGGGCGCTTGAATTCATGAAGTCTGGGAACCAGCGAATACAGCTCCTCGGAGCAATTACCATGAAAGTATTAACGGTCATTTGACTTGGATCAGCCGAGCCTCGATTTCGGGCCAGATAAGGCACCATTTTAAATCTACCACTTATTGAACTTTTAGCTTTGATTAATTGTGTCTCATATTCCGGCAAGATAAGGCACGATTTTAAATCTACCACTTCCGTCATTTTAGGCTTTACTCGGTCGTGTCTCGTCCTTAGTCGAAACAGGGCACAAATGAGGTGAAAATTATCATTAAAAAAACAAGGTAATTTAACTTTTAATTTCAAGTAGACGTCTTTAGAGATTATTTTATTTGAGATAAAAAAAAAAATCAGCCATAGACATCGTTATTCTAGTTCCCCTCCTCTACCCGCTTAATCAAATATCGATCACTGGAGGCGTCTCGGCAGGGGATTAGGGTTATTGAGGCTAGTTGGGCTAACCGAGGACTGAGTTTGTTCCTCACCGGGTGCTACAGGTATATAGAAACGCATTGGTTCCTTTATGATATTTTCAAAATTTAATAAAATTTAAAAATAAATACCCATAACTAAATCAGTGAAATTTGTACATAGGAAACATGTTAAGATTAAATGCAACAGCAAAATTGCCCAATCGTGTAACAGCATAATTGTCCATCCTACAAAATGTTTAATATCTAACCCCCCCAAAAAAAACCCCACTAAACTGACTGAGTTTCTTTTTTCCAGGATTTCAGATAAGACGTTTAGCCATCTTGACACCATTTGTCGTAAGAATCACTGGAAAACCCATTTGAGTTATTTGGCTATTTGGCTATAAAGAGAACAGGTTAAAATCATTTTGTGCCAGCCCCACTATGTCTTCACAAGTGAGCAATGATGAGAGGAAAAAAGGTAATTCAGGCCTTCAGTAATGGTACCAACATTCATACTCTGGCTTCCATCTTCAAAGTCCATTCAAGAACCATCAAGAGAATGGTGAATAGGTTTTAAAAAGAGGGAAGAGTAGAGAGGAAAACTGGATCAGGAGGTCACAACAATATGAGGGATCTTCATTTCAACTTAGAGCTAAAGAGATCAATTAGAAATGATCCAACTCAATCCGTAAGACGTTTTGGCACGTGAGAGATAAGTTTCAACTATGACAGTCCAAAGAGCAGAAAAAAAAAAAAAAACTTGAAAAGGAAATCGTACGTGAAACAACGTGTGAGGCACCTTGTTACTCCAGGACAGAAAGTCAGAAGGTTAGAGAGAGCGAAGATCATCTTGATTAGTCGTAAAATGATCCTGGAAGCTGGCAGATCTTCATACGTCGAAACCGACAGAAGAGTCCATTATTTATATATATATATATATATATATATATATAAAGATGAACGCGTTAGAATGTTCTGTAAAAATCTCGCTATATATTGGGTTCTAGTTTATATTCAATTATACTAGAGGCTTTGTTTTGTAAAATGTTTTCCGCTTTGATTTCTCTTATGATGTTTTTATACTGCAATTCCGTTGGTTATTTTCACAGTTGTGATTACGCGTTTCACGATCAACTCTACTGCTAGCTTGCTTTTTATATACAGTAATGTTTTCTGCTAATGCTGAATTGCTTTTTGAATGTTTTCTAATGTACTGAGAGTTTACTTTGAACATTAGAAGAGATGGTGTTGCGCCAAAGACAAAACAAAACAAAAAACAAAGAAATAAACAAACGAAAACAAAACAAAATAAACAAAAACAGGGATAGCAACTCAATTACATGTAACCAATAAAAGTAAGAAGAAACAATGGAATGTATATAAACTAGCCATTGACTATTTTTCCCCCTATATTTCAATCATTTCGCTCGACTTCTCTACCCCATCTCTCTGTCTCAATCTCTGTATATATATATATATATATATATATATATATATATATAGAGAGAGAGAGAGAGAGAGTATGTATATACATGCATATATATACATGTGTATATATATATATTATATATATATATATTATATATTTTTTATATATATATATATATATATATATATATATATATATTATATATATATTAAATATATTATATATATATTATATATATATTATTATATATATATATATTATATTATATGTATA